TCGTTTAAGCTCATACTTGCATAACTGTTTACTCGTTGAGTAATTTCATAAACGGGTATATTCATATCTATAACTGTTCATAAACGATTAACTGTACCCATAACCGCGTATTCATTTAACCATAATTGTTTACCCGATTCTTTACCCGTTTGCTCGTTTTAACAAGTTAAAAATTAAAAAGGAAATTTGTCATAATTTTCTTTTTCTGACAATTAAATATCGTTGTTGTTACATTTATCATGCATTTTCAACATATTTTTCCTGTAACATCCCACATCGTCCAGGGGAGTGGATCCTATAGGCCTTATATGTATATTCCCATCTCTACCTAGCACGAGGCCTTTTGGGAGCTCACTGACTTCGGGTTCCATCGGAACTCCGAAGTTAAGCGAGTTCGCGCGAGAGCAATCCCATGATGGATGACCTACTGGGAAGTTCTCGTTTGAGTTTCCAGAAACAAAACCATGAGGGCGGTAATTGTAGTTGCCCATACCCACGAGATGCAACATCAAGTCACATTCAGTAGAAGACAAAAGGTGGCTTGCCCACGTGGTGCGTGATAGGCAAACGGCTCTTTCTTGATTGTTAGATTTTTAACTGTCCTTTCATCTGGACCATTGGTTTTCCAACTGTTAAAAAAAACAAAATATCATCTCTAGTCAGTTGCCATGTGGCACAATCATGGCCTTTTAACAGTAATAATTTTGAAAATCAATGCTAAGATTATTCTAATGGTAAAAAAAATCCAAAATTCAATATTTTTTTTTCTATAAATACCCAACCATATTCTTCATTTTGCACACCACAATTCAATATTTATTTTTACTACAATCTCCTATATTTGTTCTCTACCTCCCAACTCATTTTGTTACCAAGAAAAATGAATGAGAAGTCAAATTGGTCAATTGGGGAAGACGTTGATTTGCTTCAAGCATAGGTGCTTGTTACCCATGACCTGATCACTAGAAATGAGATGAAAGTACAACACATGTGGCATAAGATTCATGCATAATTTGTACAACATATTCAAGGCACATTCTAGAGTGAGCAATCTATGTCGAGTAGGTACATATATATGCATAAAGATTTGAAAGATTGGCTAGAAGCACTTGCAAAAGTGAAAGGAATTTATCAAAGGGGCACTAAGCTGGCCGATGTGGTAATATTATTTTATTGTTAATAAATTTAAAATGTAATTAATATGTTAGTTTTTTCTAATTTTGTTATATATATCTTTATGTTGTTTCACAAATATTTTTATAGCAACTACAAGCTAAAATGTGGTTTAATCTTGATCATTCACAAGGCACGAATGTTGGAATATTGTAAAGCAAACTCTGAAGTACAAAATTTTCCCTATTTGTCCACAAGTTTAGTTGAACAAGACTCTAGTGCACGAATCAACTACTCCTAAAAAAGGACACCATTGGTAATGTAGTGAATAAGGAGTTTATTCAATGGGGCTTTTGGTATTTTGGTGTTCATCCATTCCGTTAATTATTAATTTGATATTCATGTATCTTAGGTTGTGATTTAATGTTTTGTAGTAATTTTGATGCATTGTAAGTTGTGTTTTAAATTAAGTGGCTAGGTGGAACAATTGTCATTTAATATGTTTCAGTGGCTTAGGGAGTTGTATTTGCATTGATGAAGATGTTTTGGCACACTAGTATATTAGGGAGGGAGTTAGATATGCTAAAGGAGACAATTTGGAATTATAATTTTATGGTAACAAAGAATTGAGCATTGCTCTTCTATCATTTTTCTGTCAAGCCTCGTGTGTTTTCTGACATCTCCTCTATCTCTTTGTCGTTCTGCATTATTTGGTATCAGAGCTTCGCTACTCTCTTTGGGTTGCTTCCGCGCTATTTATCTAAATGGCAGCGATGGAAGGTAGAGGAAGGCGTGGTAACCAAGAGCCTGGAGATCTAAGAGTTGAAAGAGTTGACGAAATTCAAGAGCTGCAACTAGAACTCGAGTTGCTTGCCTTGCGAATTGAACGCCTAGAAGCTCGAAGGAAGCATGGTGGATCAAAACGCAAGAAGCACAACCAACGATGGTGGACTACCCAAATGTCAAGGTTTGGTAGTTGGCTTAAAGATGCTAGGTCTTGCACCATCAGATGCGAATATGATAAGGTGAACCCAAATACTTATCAAAATGAACAAATGGTGGTGCCTAAAGTTTCAGATTTGAAGGTAACCCCATCAGTGTCACTTATCTTTGAAAATGAGTTTGATAATGATGAATTGGGCTATACTTATGATTGTACCTTACCACCTATCTATGATGAATATCATGAAGATGGAGATACATGTCCAAAAAAATAGGTCACAAATGAATCTCTTCATCACAACAAGCTGGGTTATTCATCAATTGATATATCTCATGCTAGCGAATCAGTTTCTCTGCACAATTTCATGTCTTGCTCAAAGGGGGATCCCGAAGCAAAAGGTTATGATGTCTTCTTGGTTCATGGGAGAGATGGAACAATGAGTGCGGACTTGATTCCCTGTAATATTATTTCCCTGGATGCTTCAAACATTACAAATTATACTACTTATTTGCCTACAGTTGAGGAAAAGGTTCCTAACTTTCAGTTTTATGATTCCATTTGGTATGACTGTATCTATGGATTCATCAACAACTATTTGAATGCAAGGAAAGAGTTAATTATGATTTTGAAGCCTTATATCTTTCGTGAAAAGTTATGTAGGTTACTACAATTTTGGGAAAGAATGAATCTTTGTTTCTGCCATGCAAGTAATATTTTTGTTAGTTCGAAGAAGAAAAGAAAGAGAAGTGAGGCAACGTGGTTTCTAAACTCGGCGATTTGGAAAGAGCTTGGATTGAAATTAGTGAACTCTTGGACGAGTTCTTTCTCACTCGGAGAGTCTAATGTAGTGAATAAGGAGTTTATTCAATGGGGCTTTTGGTATTTTGGTGTTCATCCATTCCGTTAATTATTAATTTGAGATTCATGTATCTTAGGTTGTGATTTAATGTTTTGTAGTAATTTTGATGCATTGTAAGTTGTGTTTTAAATTAAGTGGCTAGGTGGAACAATTGTCATTTAATATGTTTCAGTGGCTTAGGGAGTTGTATTTGCATTGATGAAGATGTTTTGGCACACTAGTATATTAGGGAGGGAGTTTGATATGCTAAAGGAGACAATTTGGAATTATAATTTTATGGTAACAAAGAATTGAGCATTGCTCTTCTATCATTTTTCTGTCAAGCCTTGTGTGTTTTCTGACATCTCCTCTATCTCTTTGTCGTTCTGCATTAATTGGAGACCTTATTTGAGACACCATTGGCGACTCCGATTGAATCGGTTGCACAAAATAAATAAACAACAAGGTTTGTTGGTAAGAAGGCTGCTAAGAAAAAAGTTGGAAGAGGGAATTCTTTGAATAATGATTATTCAAAATTAGTTGATGAATTGGCTGGCCAACATGCACTGCATATGGAACAGGACAAGTTAACGTATGAGCAAGACAAGGTTAGAGATGAAGTAAAGGTGAGAGAAAGGGAGTTGAATATATAGGCAAGAAAGACAAGAGGAGAATGATCGGATATCACATCCGACACCTTGATGATTAGTCTCCTAACTTCAAATCGTTTTTTGAGAAGTGAAAAAATCGCATCATGAGAAGAAGGTTTTTTGCGGACTCCAAGGGAAGATGGACCAAGACACACTGATTTTATCCCCTAGTTTAAATTAATTATGTTTGTTGTAGTGCTACGATTTTCTGTTTATTTGAAATTATTTATTGGAATTAGACTTTATTTGAGAAATAATGACATGTAGGGGATAATGCTAAGAAAACATAAATAAAAATAACAATAAATATATTGGTGAATAGTAGTCGCTATTTTCCTTATGCTTCCTCATAGACGAGTGGACTTGTACGAAGGCAATTACTGTTAGAGTGAATAGTAAGGGCAATGCTCTCAATGACCCTTGCCTTCCACTAAGAGCATCTCCACCGCTAGTGGAAGTCAATGGCAATTGGAGGGCAATGATCCTCAGTATTCATTCTAAACAGTATTTGTCTTTGTGCAAGTTCATCAGTTTGGAAGGAGGAAGGGCAAGACAAATGCAATTACTATTCACAAATATATATTTTTAATGTTTTCTTCGTCTTATCCCCACATATCATTATGTCTGTAAATTTTTGAGTAATTTTAAATATTTAATTTGCAAATGTTTTGAACTTTGTAAGAAATTTAAAGTTTATAAGTTTTTTGAATTTATGAAATAATTTTTAAATTTTTATGTTTTTTGAGAATTAGATTTAATCCTAAATTTTTTTGAAATCTAAGGCCCACAAAGAGCAACGTGGCAGGCTGCAACATTCAAAAGTCTGATGGGCTTCACGTGGTTTTGGGGTTTTTTTTTTGGGGTGAGGGAGAGGGGGGGGGGGTCCCATGCCTTGTCTGCTGGGTTTCACTTGGACCCAACCTCTTGCAATTATTGAAGGAGTTTTGTTTTGTTTTTTTTTGTCAATATATTGAAAGGCGTATTTGACTTCAACCCAATTGTCTCCCTGTTTTTTTTTTTTTTTTTTTTTACCGGTGGAGCAACAATCTTGGGGCGGCTTGCAACTTAACCCAATTGCAAGTCCATTGGAGACGCTCTAACCAGTGGAGATACTCTTAATTAGAATTCTTTTTTTTTTTTTTTGGTGAAGAAAGAGGTGGGGGATGCAACACGAGGACTTATGAAGAGGTCACACATCCTAGTAGTACTGTCACCCAAACTCGCTTAATTTCGCAGTTCTGATGGGATTCATTTCATGTGAGTTGGTATGATCGCATCATCCTAGTACTACTTTTGCCCAAACTCGCTTAACTTCGCAGTTCTGATGGGATTCATTGCATGTGAGTTGATATGATCGCATCATCCTAGTACTACTTTTGCCCAAACTCGCTTAACTTTTGAGTTCTGATGGGATTTAGTGCATGTGAGTTGGTATGATCGCATCCAAAAGAGGTGGGGGATGCAACACGAGAACTTTCCAGGAGGTCACCCATCCTAATACTATTCTCGCCCAAACTCACTTAACTTTGGAGTTCTGATGGAATTCAATGTATGTGAGTTGATATAATCGCATCGTCTTAATTAGATTTTTCACTATACACTATCACATTCTATTGACAAACATAATCCGAAAATCGTAAATATAAACAACACATGTAAATAAGAACCAGTTCGATTAATGAATTCAAATTCAAGTTATTGTGTTGTTGAACTGTCTGATCGAATAGATATAAGTTAATCAAAATTTTGACAACTCATTACCTTGTAATCAAGATTAACCTTATATTGGAAAGACACTGAACTTGAACAACTTTCAGCTTCCAAAACATGAAACTATTCCAAAAGTAGGTTAAAAAACATTCAATTGATTTGACCATTACACCTTACAGAAAAGTGATTTCCGCACATTAACCATACACATTAATGTTTACCTTTCGCTTTAAATTGAATAAATCGGTGAGACGAAGAGTGTTCACAAAGTAAAAAAGACGAATACAAAATATCATTTAATATCATAAAGTCTTGCTCATTTGAAAAGAAAGTAAAACCAGTACCCAAAAACTGGATAAATAGGGCATATATTCTGAAGAAAAAGAAAAGGTAATATACATATTAGGCTAAATAGTAGCAAAGGTCCCTAATCCATTCCGTGAGTTTAGTTTACGTCCTTTAACTCTACTAATACTTTATCTTGTCCTCGAATTATGTCATTTGTTGCACTAACAGTTTTTTTCGTTAACTACGTCAACTTTTTCGTTAAATTGAAGGATAAAATAGGAATTACATTCAAAAAATAAGAAAACAAATTTTTTAAAGAGAAAAACTTGCCTCTTCAAGGATTGAGGAGGAATTGTTCTTTAAAATACCTTGTAACTTATTCACAGAAATTCGTGTTTATAATCGGAACTTCTTAAAAATTTGACTAAATGATCTTAGTTTTAGTTGATTTTTTTGCAAAGATGATATTTACATAGTAATTTATAATATAAATATTCTGATCATAAACACGTAATTCTATGAATAGATCACGAAGTATTTTGAGGAGGAATTCCTCTTCAACCTTAAGGAGCCAAACTCTTTTTATTTTATTTTTATAAATTAGATTTATTCATGTATGAAAAGACCACTATACCCTAAATTGGACGACGAAAAAGAAAGTACATTTGACGGAATGACCACTGTACAACGCAAAATTAAGTTAAAAAAAAAGAAGGAGAAACTAATATAAAAATTTAGAGACGAAAATTAAACATGAAGTAAAATAAAGACTTTGCTACCTCGCAAACTGTCAGAGAGATTCCATTCAGCGAATCAGTAAAGCCAAAACAGTAAGAAAATCTCTGAGAATCATCAATGCACATAAAACAGCACCAGTTACTGGTCCTCTGACTGATGCAATGAAAAGTTGGAAAGTTGAAACCATCCTAAAAAAGCTCTTATCGTAAAAGCCCCAACCCCACACATTCCCCCCAAAACACACCAAACATAGTATTGACAGCTCAGTAAAAGTAAAACTTTTAGTTGGCGTTTGGAAGCCAAGAAAATTATCCCAGCTGTGCAATGTCCTCATTGGTGGCGGTGGTTGTTTCGCTCTGCTTCTGTGAAACAGGATACTTAATGGCATTGAGTTCCACCTTGCGCAGGGCAGCTTTGCCTAGATCAACACCACAAATGTCAGAAAGCCTGACCAGATACAGCAGCACATCAGAAAGCTCTTCTCCCAGGTGCTCCTTTTCCTCCTCCTTCCAATCTGGCAGCCCTTTTGGAACCTCCCCTTTCCATTGAAATATCTCAGATAGCTCTCCCACTTCTCCCACCTGTAATTTCATTAAAAAAGCCAAACCTTTGCATCAATTTGTGAACCAAAATTTAACACCCTTCTGGTTGTTTTGAGTAAAAAGCAAAAGCCAAATGCCAAACAGCACTTTGGGGGAAAAGGGTAACACAGAAAAGTGGGGTAATTGTAGATTTGATATGACAAAAACAATAAAAAAGAACATCTCTTTCCAAATAGTAAATTGTAAAGCAAGTCAAATTTGACTCTGGTTAAGCAATATACACTTTCACCACTTAACAAGTTCGAATCTCCTTTTTCCTTTTTCCTTTCTCATAGGTTAAAACAAACAAAGTTACAAACTTCAAGAAAAACTCAATTTGGGTTTTGATAGGAAGGTGAAAAGGAATTGGAAACAAACAAAATAAGAACCAACTTGCGGGCAAGAAGCGCATGCAAAATAGAAAAAAGAAGTCAGAAACCACAAAACCACAAAACCCCAATTTGTTTAAAATTAAATATATGCAAAATCCAAACTACAGTGAGTCAGCTGTGTGTACATATTATTTGGTCAAATCTTACACAATCCCATGATGAAAGTGAATGCAAAAATATGAAATAATGATAAAATCGCAAAGCAATCACATTTTTATTAATTGGGTTTCTCCCCATTTCATGGATCACACAATTATTAAATAAAACACATATCAAACAGTTAATGGGCATAAAAAAATGGCATGCGAGAATTATCAACCAAAAAAAAAAAAGCAGAAAGAATATTTATGGGGTTGGAAAGATGAACAAACCATAGCTAGGAGAAGGTTTCTGGGGCTGTGGAACTGATCCCAGTCTCTCTCTTTTGCAAACTCGGCCATTTTCTTCTTGAGAAGATCAAGGGTGACATTTTCTCCTTCCGCAAAACCAGTCATCTTCTCTTTCTCTCTCTAGAAACAAAGGGAAATATTGAGAGTGATTGCTAGAATTGGAGGAAATTTAAAGAGGGAGGAAGCAGGAAAGATAAGACGGAGAGGCAGACAGCTAAGCTCTCTCTGCCCTGCAAGCAATTACTCCTGGTCAGGCGACTCAGGGTTTTTTAATATATATAGACTTATGATGACCAAATATTCTATCTTTTTTTTCCTTTTTGTTTAAAACAATAAAAAAAGAGACAAATAGATTTGGAAAATAAAGCGTTAGTTTGGAAGGGAATCGATGACAATTTATGAGTATCTTTTTATATTTTATGCATTTTTATACAAAAATGATTTTACACGTTTATTTTTTAATTTTTAAACTCCTCTTAACGCCATCAGATTGAAAAATAAAATAGAATCAAGAGTTCAAATTAAACAGAGGTGTGTATGAGACAAAATAGACAATGCAAAAATTACTTTTCTTTTTTATTTATGATCATTAAATTAAATAAATTAAATGATATGAATAGATATGATTACACAGATATGCAAGAGGCTCAAACATTTGTAGTTATTATATTTCTTTTTTTATTGGTTATCAACTTGGAAATAAATCATTTCACTTACTATTGGTTATTTACGTGTTATCTTATAACAAAAATATGTGATTGTTTAACTTTTACTGCACCTACACTAATCTATACTTAGAGAAATGAGATGATTTGAACCCTGAAAGCATTAGAAGCTTAAAAAAAAAGTAAAACTAATGAAAAAAGTTCGAAAACTTTGAGTTTTAAAAATAAGGACAAAATAAAGGGTACAATGAATAGTATCACGATTGACTTTTAGTGTAAAAATGTGATTTTTCGTTAAAGTGAACAGTACAACAGACTTTTCGTTAAAACTCTCTAAAAAAAATGTCTTAACCATTAGGTCAATTCGGTACATGCAAATAAGTGATTATAATTAAAATAAATAATAAGAGCAGGTATAATAGATGAAATATCTCACTTTTTGAATACAATTTCATAATAAATAATAAGAGCAGCCATTAAATTATAATTTGGGGATTGGCTACTTAAATATATTTGATATAAAAGAAAACTAACGAAAAGTTCAAAAAAACTTTAGTTTTAATTAAAAATGACAAATAAATGTTTAGTGAATAGTACCATGAAAAGGTAAAAATATTGTTTTTCGTTAAAAGTGAACAGTATCGGAAATATTTCGTTAAAAGTCCCTCAATATAGCTATAGGATATAATTATGTCAACATATGTATTTAATATAATTTATAGATGACCAAACCCGAAATATTGTAGTTAAATTCTATAATTTGAGCGGAAAATAACGCCATTTAATAGTACCTCACATAAACTGAAATGTTTCTCGAAATAGAAAAAAATGTTGTATAATGGACACCGGCTACTGTCCGTTTTTTTTTTGTACTGAGAATTGACACATGTTAGTTCGCATGATTTCTCAGCTGGATACGTGGTAAGCCACTTGTGTAGGGACCATGTGTTCGGCTCGTTGGATTTTTCATTAGCTAGTTTGTAAGTTTATAATTTTGGTCCTAGGAACTTGGCTCTCGTCCTTCTCAGTGTCCAACTGTTATGACATGAGACCTCTGAGCTTGCCATGAAAGTTTTGAGTGCCAATCTATAAGTCCACCATAGTACCAGACACTTGTATATTCAAGGCCCGATTTTGAATTTTCTTTTGAAGGTGGAAATTTTGTACTCTAGGTTAGCTAAAAGATGGTTATTGGTAGATATATATATATATATATATTGATAGAAGCAGTCTCTGCTTCCACACATTCTAATCCTTGAGAACTAAACCCTCTTCATATAGTTGAGGATACTATCGAGTGCTGGAAGTAGAAGACTACTTCTGAACCTCCATCAATGGCGACACATTTAGGTAGGTTTTCTTGCAGAATAACACTAATATCAAAGCACGCTTTGTTGGTCTGTCTGTATGATGTTGTAACCCTAATACCAGGTTGATATAATCTATATAAACTCTTACAACAGCATGACCTTATCCATGAAGATTCAGCATTATATAACTTCGACTTCTTAAAGAAAAAGATTGGTAAATGATCTAGAGTTTAACTTTTGATCTCAAATTTTGATAACACCAATCATTTTTAAATACTCAATCATTATGTTGCTTGAGATGACAATGTGAAAAGTTAGTAATAAGTTGATGATTCAGAATCTGAAAAACTCTTAATTGAGTCTTTTCATGAGCAAACTTTGTTAATTTTGTCGGCCTTTCATATTTGATATATACTCGTTGCAAGGATTAAAAAATGCCTGTGAAGGAATACAACACGAATTTCTCTTGTACAAACACGTTAGGCAAGAGACATGTCCAAAG